TAAAAAAAAAAAAAAAAAAAAAAAAAACCTTCCAAATAAAATAAAAATAACATCCCTTAAAATTAGGGGTGTGACGATGCACTGGCTCACGAGAACGAGGCGATATTTTAACATTGTTTTAATGAAACCTTCAAAATGATAAGAAAATTTGTCTATTATTTGACTGAAAGTCACAATGTAAAAACAATGCAAGTGCATTCAGAAATGTTTTAACTAGAGCTGCACAATTCTGGATAAATCGAGAATAACAATTTTGTGGTTTCAAACAGAGATCATGATTCTGATAGACACCTTAACCAAAATAACGTGATTTACTAGATTGAGGTGGTCGATTTAAAATGTTTAAATCAAGCGTGCCGCACAAGCCCTCAAAAGTGAAGCCAAAACGTCTCGACACTGGCGGCTTCGGTTGTCTCTGATGGAAAAGAGCGAAGGGGCGTCGTCCATCTTTTTTTACAGTCTATGGTTTAAATCTATAAAAGGTAATAATAAATAAAATTTTAAATGAATGATTCAATGACTCACTCATAAATACTTGTTTCATTACTGGATGATCAATGTTTTTTGAATGAATGATTCAAAGAAATACATTCTTTAAGAGCAAGGGGGTAATCCATCGACCGGAAGTTGAAGCCTCGCGGGAGCTGCCATCTTGTAGCAGAACTTCACTTGCGTTAGCATTCCCATTGACTCCCATTCATTTTGGCGTCACTTTGACGGCGAATAACTTTACATCTGAGGTGTTTGAAGACCCCATTTGTCCATTATTTATTTCTAAATAAACACGACAATGTATAAAATGCTCCATTACCTTGAAGCTTATGTTATAGCCCCGTAGAAGCATTTTTTTTTTGTAAAATTAGGCTAACGATTGCGTCATACCCACGCGACTCTCTGTCACGCAGTAGAGAGATTACCGTATGGACAGGAGGAGAAGCTTGCGAGCAATCGGGGAAACGTGGAGGCAAATTGACAAAATAATTAATCAGAATACCTAGCAGAATTGTCTCCTTCTCCTAGCTCATGGACAGCTCCTACTCACACTCTCCGCCTATGCAAGTTTCGGAAGGGAATGATTCAGATTTCTCATGCCACGGCCACTAGAAGACAGACTAGTTGCTCACGTCACATCTACGTTAGTCTCAGCCTCAGACGTCACGCCCACGGAACGTTGGCTAAACGTCTGATGCATATGGTACACAGTGATGTTTTCGTCAGTGATGACGATGACGGAATGATTTCGTTAACGCACCGTTTTTTTATGACGATAACGCGACGATGACTAGCTAAAAATAGCTCTGAGGTGACTAAAACATGACGAGACGTTTTCGAGTTTTCGTTGACGAGACGGAACGAAAATGATTATAAGTCTGACGTTCACAATGCATGTAATTTATGCCTGTTTTGCGTGAATTCAGTCTGTATTGAGCTAAAAATAAGTATCAGCAATGCTGCCGTTTCCTATCGCGTGCGCCCAGCACCGGCCGCCGCGCGCGCACCAGATTCCACACAACAACAACAACACAGGGTTTAATGGCAGTTTTTGTACCAAGTCAAGTCAATAGAGTCGGACAAAAACTGGGATAAAACCTGTTGGAAAGCATATTATGCAGCGATGTTTGTGTGAGCATATCAGTGAACATCCCTGACCACTCGGTGAGTTTGACGTCTTTGTAAACGAATGTTTAATGCATTTTATGAATAATTCTGTGGGTGCTAACACACAAACCTAAAATTCTCGGGACAACAGCATTTGTCCAAATTTCAATCTTAACCGTTCTATTTCATCAGAAACGATCTTAAAACAGGGCTTTAAGTGTAAAATACCGAACTAACCAAGACCAAATACAGTGTTTATTCAGGGATTGTCTTATTCATTTTTATGTTCAACACACTCCAAGTGTCATGTTTGTTTCATACTTTATATTCAAGTATGCATTCTTTGTTCAATGCACCTCAGTTTTAGATATTTATTTTATTATTTTGTTTCAGAATGTTTGCAACTTTGCACTTTGCACAAGTTAAAGATAGACTGGGTTGTATAAATAATGTTTGTGTTTACAAATAATATGCATCTTATTGTTGCATACTACATTGTTCATTGCACTTTAGCAATTTCTCAAATAAAGCCACAATTGCCAAAGTAAGAATGTTTTTATTCTTGGCTTTTTTTGGAGTAAAACAGTGATTCCACTGTTACCACTTTATCAGTGTACAATTTTCTAGTAGCTCAATGTTTTTGCTGTTTAAACTTTAAACCATTCCTTTATTCCTTTATTACTGTGATAACTTTTTAAACTAAATTAATTTGTGAAAGACTACTTTTTTATTACTAAAATTGATTCAACTTGACTAAAACCTTTTGGTGTTTTCGTCGACTAAAACTCGACTAAAACCTTTTGTGTTTTCGTCGACTAAAACTTGACTAAAACTATTAAGTTTATAAATGACTAAAATGTGACTAAAACTTAAAAGCATTTTCGTACAAAAGACTAAGACTAAAAATAAAAGGGCTGCCAAAAACAACACTGATGGTACACTTAACTGGAAACACTTCAGGAATGTCAAAGTAGTCATCTGATTGGTTGAATTTTATCGGATTTTCAGGGGGGCGTCAGTGTCGCGTTTATTTTCGATCCGCCGGGAAACAAAGCGCAGACGTGTGATTGCGGAAGAAAAACTGTTGTGTTTATATGAGTGACAAAGAGCATTTATCAAGATCAGCTAAACGTAGTTGTATGTCCCCTTCTATTTATTATGGAAGATCAAGTGAAGGACCTAACCGCGAAGGGGATATCAGCCGCGTTTGTGGACAAACATGAAACAACAGATGCTGACATCGCAGCTGGCCGATTCAGTATTCATATATAGGGCGCACTGGATTATAAGGCGCATACAATACTGCTGAGTCAAACGTTTGACTGGGTTTGCGTTATGCATCCACTAGATGTGCTAAAGGCTAAAGGGAATGTAGCGAGTACACGGCGCCAGAGGTGTGGCGTTTATTTAGTAAGCGTGAGCGCGCTGGGGTTAGTTATTGTGGGGACATTTCCACGCCCTGAAACGTGACGCTGAACGAAACGAACTGTAATTGGTTGTTTGACATGTCGGTCGAACGGCCTTATGGGCGGGCCTTGGCCAAAGAAAGCTGCTATGAATTCCAGACCTTCAGCCGTTAGTCTGAAGGTCTAGCAACGCGAGACTACATCTACGTCGTCAAGCTCTGTTTGAGTCTGCGCGTCAGGGATGGAAGTGCAAAAAAAATAAAAAAATTTAAAAAATAAAATAAAATTCGCCAAAAACGGGCTTCACTTGTCTCAATTGAGTTCCAATGAGTTGGCTCTGTCCACTTCTTAAGCCCCGTTCCCACTACACGCGACCAAGCGACGCGATACCATTCATTATGAATGGTGAGCGGGCGACTTCCGGCGACAGCGACCGTTGGGGCGTGTCCAGCGACTCGACAACATTGAGAAATTTGTAACTTAACGCAAATGAAGGGCGATTTTCGTGAGCGACAACCAATAGGAGTGAAGTCAGCGGAGCGCGTCACTCTTCAGTGCTGAGTCTGACCGAGGCAAGTTGAACGAGAAGCTCATTTTAGCAGTCAAAAACTGTCCTATAATTGATGATATATCTCCGCGTACATACAGTGGTGTTCATCGTACTGACTCCGTGACTGAACCCAGATAGACCGGTATTTGCCCGTTTGCTGCAGTTAAATTGCCGCGATTGCAAAGAGCACTCACTGTTTCTCGTTCATCTTTAATATTATGCATTTTATACTGATTCCATTTATATTTAGACTTTTCCTTACAAAATATTTGTTTGTAGCAGCAATAAAACGTATTTGTTGTCTCACATAGAGTAACTTCCGTGAATGTCACTCACAAACATTACTAGGCAACCAGTAGTGGGGAACGCCCTCCAGCGCAGCCACAGGCGACCTGCAGCGACAAAGTCGCGTGTAGTGTGAACGGGGCTTTATACCGTCTATGTTTAAGAGTCACGTGTCTCCACCTACTGGTGTAATGATGTAATCGATAGTTATTTAAAGGGCCATGTTACTTTCAAAAGGTGATTTGCTCTATTTGGATCGCTACTATACATCAGTGTTTATATCTGAACTAGAAACTTTTATTTGTGACAAAACAGAAATAATGACACTCTATGGTTGAAAAGACTCTCTCTGGCTTAGATCCAACACAGATCTGAATGTTCACTACATCAGTTAGTTTTTGATTAGTTTGCTCTAGTAAACTAATCATGTAATGAATGTCATTTCTGCTCTACTTTCCGTGCATGAATTATCATGTGAAGTAAGAGACGGAACGATATAAATGTAAACGCTGTAAAAGGTTTTCCCACAAACTCAACTCCGTCACGCTATCACGAGAAATATCGTCCCGCTTTAATATCGCGAGATGTCGTCACACCCCAACTGAAAATACAATTACCTGTCAATAATTAAATAAAATATTAAATAAAATGATGCCCTAAATTAAATCCGCTTATTTATTATTACCTTTCAAAAATTAAATAAATAAGATATTTTATTTTGAAAGGAAAGATTTATGGGTATCTTATTTTTAAAGTAGTATATTGAAGTAGAATTCAGTCATAATTTACTCCCACTCTAAACCTACAGTTTATGGATTTATTTCTTCTATAGAAACATTTAATAATAAAAATAACACAAAATAAAATTGAATAAAAAATAAAATCCTCTTAAATAGTATTACTCTTCAGGTAATAATTTAAGGGGATTTTATTTTTTAATTTAACTTATTTTTGTGTGTTATTTATTTATATTCATTTAAGAAAGTTGATGATATTTAAGGTGATTTTATTTCCATTTTATTAATTTTTTTAAAGATATATTTTTTTTCAGTAATATTTTTTTCAAAAAAAAAAAAAAAAGAATAAAATCCCCTTAAAAAAAATAGAATAAACTAAAAGAAAATAATATGGTAGAAATATTTTGAAATAGTATATTTAAGTAGAACTTGGTCATCATTTACTCACACTTCAGGAGAACATTTAAGGTGAGCGTCCGGCGTCTCAAACACATTCATGACACACTATTCATGGTGGTGATGTTATTGACCAGGCTGTGGAGACACTTAACTGTACATGAGAAACAGCATCGGGATTGAAACTGCGGATACAGTCGTGGTGTGAGTGTGTGTGTGTTTTACTCCTCTAGGGCCTCCAGGAAATCGGCCACGGACTCCACCACGTAATCGGGCACGCAGTCCTTCTGCCCCGGCTCCTCGCTGTCCCTGTACCGGTGCGCCTCCTCCAGCGTGGAGACGCCCGTGAGCGTGAGGACGGTGGAAAGCCCACAGTTGCTGCCGAACAGAATATCCGTCTCCAAGCGGTCGCCGACCATCAGCGAGCGATCCGGATCCAGGTCAAACTGACTGGCGATGCACTCGTACATGAAGCGGCTGGGCTTCCCGATGACCGTGGCCTTCCTGCTGCTGGCTGTCTCCAGAGCCGCCGTGAGACTCCCGGAACCTGCCGGCACATCACACACACACACTGCTGTTGTAGATCACTGAATCACCAGCACAATGACACACTTCTAGAGGCATGTACAGCTCTGTTCAAGCTCAATCACACTAGATGCGCACATGTTCTCTTCTCAACAGGTTGTTTCATCACATTTAAAAGAAAGAAAAACTAGGAAAGTTATTTTCAGGTTTCCACACTTTCTGACCAAAAGATTTCCCTGGTTTTTCCAATGACTTTTCCAGTAGTTATGACTGATTAATGACTTGTTTCATGCAAGTCTTTATAATAAACAGAACCTTGGAACGGATTTCTATTATTTTGCATATTTTTTAGGTTTTACAGGACTGTGAGAACCTAATATTTTGCTTGGAGATTATGTGCATCCCTTGTGTATTTTCATTATAATTAAGCACATTTACACCTATAACTATTACAATTTAAATTAAGCCTTTAATTTATGCTGATTAAAAAAACTAGGGCAGTCAAACGATTAATCACAGCCGAAATAAAAGTCTGTGTTTACATAATATATGTAGGTGCACTGTATAGTTATTTTGCGTACATACATACATATATATATATATATATATATATATATATATATAAATACACACACATGTTTGTATTTATTAAAAAAATATTATCATTTATATACTGTAAATAGATGTATATATAATTTATATTATATATAAATATTTTATATATAAAAAAATATTTTTTTTAAATAAACATGCATGTGTGTGTGTGTATTTATATACAAAATAATTATACATACACAGTGCACCCACATATTTTATGTAAACACAAACTTTTATTTCGGCTGCGATTAATCAGGATTAATCCTTTGACAGCCCTAAAAAACATTATTATTAATAATAATATTTCTTAATTGCATTAAAGGAATGAGACTATGGAAAATGTGTTTAAAATCTTGGTTCAAATAGACTAATTACTGTCTCATACACAATATAAAATGAATGTACACACACGTTATGTATATATAATTGGTAGCAGTGTGTATCTAGCTCCTTAACTTTTCCACTTGTGGTTTTTGAGGTGAAATGTGACCTGAAATACACTGAAACTTTGAATCATTTTTTTTAAATCATATAAATCTGCATATGAGCTGAACATCCCAAAGTACCCCTCCTCAACGCCTCACCCGGGGTGATCCTGCCTCCTCTCAGCGGGTGCCAGGGGTCCGGGTCGGTGGCCAGGAACAAGCACTCAGAGTTCATCAGGTAACAGCTAGCTTTGGCCAGCTTCATGAAGGTGAAGTTCTCGTCATATCCGACCAGCACAGCCTTGACATCCGGATCCAGGGGGCAGTTGTAGATGCTGGTTCCCGGCTCCCGGTCTGCGGCTTCATCCTCCTCCAGCACCGGGACCCCGGCGTCCTGCAGCTCCTTCATCACCCCGCCGCAGCCGATCACGAACACCTTCCCCTGGAGCCGGGCCACATCGCGCAGGTACGCGGCGGAGCAGTACGCCGAGCTGAAGATCTCCTCCTCCGCGATGTCCGTGAAGCCCAGGCGGCTAAACTTCTGCACGTAGTTCTCCCGCGGCCTGGTGCAGTTGTTAGTGACGAAGAACACCCGTTTTCCCCGCTGCTTGAGCAGACTGACCACCTCCGGAGCCCCGGTAACGGCCGCTTCCCCGTTCCAGATCACGCCGTCGCAGTCGAACAGCACGTTGTGCTTCGAGTCCAGCAAGTCTCGGATCTGAGCGCCGCGGAGCGTCACACAACCCTTGCCGCCAACCACGGCACCTGCCATTCTGCTGGCTAGAGTTCCTATGATGGAAAGCTTTAAACTACGACCGTTTTATTTAAACGCGCTGATGACTCTGTACGTTAACCGTTAGTGAAATGAACGCAGGACCGAAGCGGAGCGGTTCACCAGCACGTCCATCTCTGCTGTTCCTGCAGACGCCTGATGACGGACCAATCACGTTCTAGTCTGTCGGAGAGGATACGCCCCTTCCCTATGTGTCCTCTAATCAGAAAGCGAGCAGCAGCACGATGATTGAAGTGGGCGGAGCTTAGTGACCCAGAGGTTATCTCTAATTGGTCAGGTACAATGGGTCTAGTTAATCATTTTTCTTCATTTACAGCTTTGCTGCATTTTTTGTTTATTGGTTCATTTTTAAAATGGGGACCGTACAAAAAAACATGATTTAAGCCAAAGACCAACCCTACCAATTACAAACCCTGTTTACATTAGGTTAACACTTTTAAATAATACTTTGAACCCTGGCAACATATAGAAATTATAGTTTTTCTCGATTGTTTACACACATTTTCTGAAAGCATGCCTCATTCTCTCAGAACTCTACACACAAATCAAAAAACACACACAATGGGCAAAATCCCTTCTCTCAAAATGCTATTTCTAATGACACAGAAGAATTTACTGTATACAATTACAGTAAAAAATAAAATAATAAAAATGCTGCCCGAAACAGTCAGAGAATTGCAGAGAATTGTGTGTAGTGTTTTGAAAAAGTGTGTTTTAGAACTGCAATTTGAGTGTAAAGCAGGAACTGTGCTCGTAGTTTAGCAGAATGGTTCAGGCGGTTGGTGCATGAGTTACATGTTGTGGTCCTTGTGTCTCTAGCGCCAGTATTTGTGTGTAAACAATGGAGAAAAACTGTAATATAGCCTACATGACACATACAGCACCGGTACAATTTTGAAAGACAAAAAATCATCAAGCCGCCATTTATTTGATCAGAAATACAAAAAAACAATAATACTGTGAAAAAATTATTACAATTCAAAATAACGTTTTTTTTTTTCATTTTAATAGGCTATACTTTAAAATATAACTTATTTTTGTGACACAAAGCTGAATTTTCAGCGTAATTACACCAGTCTTCAGTGTCACATGATCTTTTAGAAAATAATTACTGATTCCAAGCTTTTGAACATTAGTGTGTATTGTTACAAAATCTTTGTATTTTAAATGAATGCTGTTCTATTGTAACTTTGTATTCATCAAAGAATTCTGAAAAAAAGTATTACAGGTTATAAAAAATATTAAGCAGCACTACTGTTTCCAACATTCATAATAAATCATCATATTAGAGTGATTTCTGAAGGATCATGTGACACTGAAGACTGGAGTAATGACGCTGAAAATTCAGCTTTGATCACAGGAATAAATTACACTTTGAAATATATTCAAACAGAAATTTTTAATTGTTAATAATATTTCACAATATTACTGTTTGGTTTGTGTTTTTAATCAAATGAATTCAGCCTTGATGAGCAGAAGAGACTTCTTTAAAAACATTACACATCTTACAGATCCCAAACTTTTGAACAGCAGTTAGTAGTGTATGTATGACTGTGTGTGTGTGTGTGTGTGTAAAAAAAATCTCCAGAGCGTCTTAAAATTTAACTACATATGTCCTGGAGTTTGCCCTCTCATAGTTGCACTAGTAAGATAACTCGTGTCGTTACAGAGAGTGACTGATCGAGAGAGATGGTATTATATTATGTATAATTCTAAAGCATGTCGAATAAGTGAACATGTGACATTTAAGAGTTCAAATACATTTAACATTTTATTTTATTTTTGTATAGGTCTCCGAAATGCTAGGTGGCGGTCATGTATTATACCGTGGAGAGATCCGATTCATTTTTGGCGAATGCGTTCGTTTCAGTGAACCATTTCAGAGAAGTCCCGGGGTAGTATTTTTCTTATTTCAGAGAAGAAATACCACGGCTTATCGCCATATTCTTAAATACTTGATACTGATTATGTATGAATGAAGTGTTCTCCAGACTCCATAAGAGTCTAGCAATTTACAGGCGCTTTGTGAATCGGTTCAACTGAATCATCATGAACGACTCATTGTTGAATCGATTCGGACCTCACTAGTGCAGCAACACGAGACGAGCTAAAGCTGCTTGAAAGCTACTGCACATGTACTCTGATGTAAAACAAGAAATATGATTAAAGCTCTTTTTAAAGCTTTTGAGGTCCGATGGAAATCCTACAGGCACAGATTTTGTCCCCCTGGATAGCTTTAAATCTGCAGAAAAACGAGAGGTATAGTTCAGTTTGTTCTCTGCTTCAGGTTTGGTCAACAACAACAGCCTTGTTCACTATTACGGCGTGTTTGTTATTCTCCCAGAACTCTCCGTCACGTGAAGGATCGATCCCAAGACAAGTTAACTCAGGATGAGGAGGTGTCCGAATCTCTCGTGTGTTTATTCACTGAACTACTGAAAAATGATCTGAAGAATCAATGTGAACTGATCCGCTTACTCCCTAAATCTAAACAAAACATTTACACTAATGTACAGAGTGAAACGCATGATGCTCCCTGTACAGTGATGTTGAATACTCTGGGCTTCGTGACCGAGCGGAAGTGCAGCTCACTACAGCACGCGGGGACAGGGGTGTTTGTCACGCGCGGGCGCGTGCAGAAAGGAAGTATCGTGGCGATGTATCCAGGTAGTCCTAATATGACGTCATGTGTCAATGTAACACTTCAGTTCGGGAACATTCCAGACAGCCTATTTAAATAATAACAAAAAACATGACGACATTCCAGTTTTTTTGTTTATTTGTTTGCTTAAAAAATACCTTTAACTTTTTTTAACAGAAAAAGTATGTGTATATATATGTAAATTAAATAAATTAAAATAGATGTGTGTTTTTAAATCTGAATTCGTGAAAATATATATTTTTTTGTAATGGTTAATAAAATGATTTCTCTTTTCATATATATATATATATATATATATATATATATATATATATATGATATTTCCTTTACAGTTTAATACCTATGATCGTGTCTTATAAAGTCATATTATTCTAGTTCTGTCCTGCAGCTTTCCTGTTATTAATATTTGAATGTATTATAATCCTATAATTTACTTCTGTCTGTTTTGATAATGATTTTATGGAATTATTTATATTGGTCTGTTGCATAAGGAATTCTTCATAAGAGTTATGTCTTGATGTTCTTTCACAGGAACCATCTATCAGGCAGATGAGCCGATCTTCTTTCAGTCGATCAGAAATCCATTTGTGTTCAGATGCATAGATGGCATTTTAATTGATGGCAATGACAAAGCCATGTCCAAGATAGTGTACCGGTGAGCATCATCATCATCATCATCATCATCATCATCCTGCTAGCTTAAAGGGCGATGTTTGCATGATCAGCTGAATTAGCATAATAGGAATTATGGGAATTATCCCATTTAATGCCTTCATTCACAGTGCATTAAAGTGCAAAACATAAAGACACAAATGAAATGTTGACTGATGGAAACAGGTCGTGTAGTGGACGGGACAGGTTGGGTCCCTTCCGTTTGAGTGACAGCTCCTGGTTAACTCCTCATCCCGTGAACCCTCTCGCAGTGGGACAGTATGTGAACAACTGCTCTAACGGTCAGTCAGGATAAACAATCAAAGGTTGACTGTCCACAGTCATAGAAGAAAACACCTCTTGAGAAGAATCTTGTCTTTGTTATCCACAGAGAAAGCTGCGAATGTCTGCTATCAGGAGTTTGACGTGCCGGATGGGTTTCCTCTGGAGCTCTGTCAGTTCCTGCCGAATGTTAAATACAGAGCTGATTCTCAAAGGCAAGACCAAACATTTCATGACCTGTGTTATTAGGACATTCTGACATTTCCTGAAAAACTCATCTTTCTTTTTCAGACCTTTGCGCTGTGTTGTTCTCGTGTCACTAAGAGATATTGATCGCGGTGAAGAACTGTTCTCCAACTACTACACAATTGTGCAATAAATTAAGTTGATTTTTCTAAAGCAAAAGTGTGTCACTTTACCATGTCTCATTGGATAACATGAACTGAGAAACATTTTTACTGCATTTACTAAACTTGGTTAATGTTAATAAGAAACATTAAGGAATTTTTGACCAGGATCAGAAAACAATCAGGATTTTTTTTAATCTGCACCTTAAATAATAGTTGCTATTTCACGTCAATAATATGGTATTCTCTAGACAATTCAGTGACAATAACTTGTGTTAAAAAAATTGTGTTTTATAACATTACCAAAAAGCCCCTGAAATAAATTCCAGGGCAAAAATATCCACTTTTAAAAAGTAGCATTCAGTTTTGAAAAAGTATCGATTCACTTTTCGAAAAAGTAGTGATTCTTTTTTTTTAATTAGCC